CCCTCCTCCCCCTCCTGCCCCCGGACCATGGATGGCTCCTTTGTCCAGCACAGCGTCCGCGTCCTGCAGGAGCTGAACAAGCAGCGGGAGAAGGGCCAGTACTGCGATGCTACCCTGGACGTGGGCGGCCTGGTGTTCAAAGCCCACTGGAGCGTCCTGGCTTGCTGCAGCTGCTTCTTCCAGGGCTTGTACGGAGACGGAGCCTCCAGCAGCATCATCCTCCCCGAGAGCTTTGCCGAGATCTTTGAGCTCCTGCTGGACTTCTTCTACACCGGACACCTCGCGCTTACCTCGGAGAACCGGGAGAAGGTGCTAGCCGCTGCCAGGGAGCTCTGTGTCCCTGAAGCGGTGGAATTGTGCCAGAGCTTCAAGCCAAAATGCTTTGATGGCAGTGATCTAAATAACCGCTGCCTCCGTGAGACAGCTCCTAGGGAAGAGCTCAATGGTCACTTAAAGCAGCCACCAGACTCTGATGGAGAACAGGCTGTCAAAGCAGTGTCTAAATGTAATGCTGCTAGCGATGCCAGCCCCAGCAGCTGCACGAGGAGAGCCAAGCTAGCCCAGGGACCAAGTGGGAACCCACCTCTTCTTAGGGAAAGGCTTAAAAGGGCTGTTAAAACGACTGCATTGAGCAATTCAGGTGAAGTAAAGGAACGTAAAGAACTAAAAAGGCCACCTAAAAGAGGAGGCACCGAAGACAGAGGCATCAGCAATGAGGTGGTGTGTGGTGCATGTCCTACCAGGGTTTCTTTTGTGAATTAAGAAACTATTCTCCTTAGAACTAAAGGTTTAACATTTAAGCAGGGAGAGTTTGCTCTTGAAAACTAAATATCAAGCGTAAGGGCTGTGTCTGTTAATCTTCTCAGCAGAGTGTGTGTTAGAAGAGGGCAAGGATGGCGGTTTAAACGCAGGACTGGCACTCAGCAGGCATGGGGGGAAGGTCTGTTCCTGACTCTGCCAGAGAATTGCTGTGTGTTCTTGAGCAGGTCACTTAACTTTCAGGGATCTTTGCCCTTCCCAGTTGTAAGGGGGGACCTATATCTCCAGGACGTTGAGACTTAGTTGGCTACTACTTGTAACTGTTGTACTCCACAAATGGCAGATATTACAGAGTACCAAGCATTCATGTTTTCATATTAATTGTGTTATTTAATTAGTTTCCTGGAGCAAAGCCTCAGCACCTGCAATTCTTAATAAGTTTGGGTATTCAGGAAGGAAGGAACAAACATCTTAAATTAAAGATGTACTTTGGCTCAAAGACCAGATAAAATTTCATTAAGATACTATTTTAAGGGGAGGAATTTCAGACCTACTAAAAAGTAATACTCCCTTTTGCAGTGTATATTGGTCTTTGAGAGTCAATATTGCAGGAGAAACAAACACTGAGGCTGGAGTTGGAAGCAGGGATGTGAATGGTTAACCAGTAAGCATGACCTTTACTGGGTGATGCTTACTAGTTCTGGTTAACGGGGAGGCTGAAGCAGCCTGCTGCAGGCATGGAGTTGCTCCAGCCTGGCTGGCATGCTGAGAGCTAGGGCGCTTCAGCCCCCATGTAACTAGTTAATCGGTTTCAGTTAACTGATCAAACTTGGGATGTAAAATTCCATGTGAAATAGTTACTCGGCCCTCTTTACTTCAACTGCGACAAGGGCTCAGGCTGTTGGTGAAGAGGGAACAATTCTTGTGTACAGCAACAGTAGCATGTAGGTAGGTTTTAAGAATCAAGGCAGCCAGGGAGCAGCTTGCAACCAAAGCGCTGCAGTGATGGTTTTCAGGAGCGGTGTGTTTGGGGTTATCCTCTTAAAGCACCGGAGCAAGCTAAACGCAGCCCGTGGACTCGAGTCAGACTCTTCCTCTTGGGGTATTGGGAGATGGTCAGTCAAATCCACTGAATGTTAGTTAATTGTTCTGAAAGCTGCTTGTCAGAGAATGGTGCTGGAGCACCCAGAATTTAGCTGACTGGGATGATATTGCAGTACCACTATAGATGCAATTTCTTGTTCTATCTAAGGTGTTCATTGAGTTAACGTACTGGCTCCCTGTTCCATCACAGTGGGAAATGCAGGTTGTACAAGTCTCTGATGAGGTAGCAGCAGAAGATTATGGAGGAGCTCATGAGGAAAGAGGTGAAGATTACATTCCTGAGAAAAAGACCTTGAGGACCAAAAAGAAATCCAATTTGGCAAAAAAGCCTAGCAGTTCGGAGCCTGCAGGGAATGCTGGGCTGCTAGAGGCTGGGAGTCCTGGGAACAGAAAAGGTACAGCTGTGCCGGTTGAATGCCCCACATGTCATAAAACCTTCCTCAGCAAATATTATCTAAAAGTGCACAACAGGTAAACATTCTGATTTTTATTCCTGTACCTTCTCCCCACGTAGTAAGAGGGGCCTGTGCCCTGAGTGGTTCCCAGTAGGGCCGGGCTGTGCAGAGCAAGTTATACCGGGTAGCTGAACTTGAGCTCATTTCTGAATGTAAATTCCACTGTTAGTTATGAAGTAATAGTACAGTGAGGCCAGCAAAGCCTGAGGCCAAGTCTTCACAGTACCCCACCCCACCCCATCCCCTCGAGCTAAGAGATGCAACCTCAGCTAGGCAAACAGCTTTGCTGAAGTTGACGTACTTACCCGGTGTCTTCTATGCGGTAAGGTTGGCCACACAACGATACCTGTAAGAAATGTAAGTGTTGGGTGGAGTATGGGGGGCTCAGGGCAGAGGGTTTGGGTGTGTGTGGGGGGGGGCAGGAATTAGGGCTGGGGATGCAGGTGTCAAGGTTGGGGGTGTATGAGAGGCTCAGAGCAGGTGGGTGGGGTGTGGAGAAGTGCAGGAGTTAGGGCTGGGGAGTATGAGGAGGGGGTTTGGGGCAGAGGGCTGAGTGGGGTGCAAAGGGAGACATTTCAGGGGGCCTGCAGCTGCACTTATCCCAGTTGGAGTGGGTTTTTTTCCCCTTTGTGTTGACTAGGGGGCGAGGGAAAGTTCACAGCCTGTGAGCCTTCTTCCTCTGCCCTCCCCTGGCCAGCTGGGAGCAAGAGCAGGCTATGCACGTTGTCCTTGTTCCCTAGTCAGCAAAAAGAAACAAAAACATTCAGCAACTGGGGTACGTGTGGCTGCATCCCCCCAGTCCCTGAAATGGCATCTCAAGTGTCTTCCCCGGCGTGAGTCTGGGCTGGGGTCAGTACACTTCGATGGTGGAGCAGAGGTGCTGTTTCCGGGATGCAGCCCCTAGGAGCAGATCTCAGGGCAAGCGCAGAGGAACTGCTGCCTGTTAACATTTGGTCAGACTCTGTATGTGGTGCTGCCTGGAACAGCTTTAAAGCAGAATGGAGCCCTTTGTGATGCTGCATAGCATACGAGTGTTGTTAACTAATGCCCAAAGGGAGAGCCTACCTGCAGCAGCAGGAGGGAGCCCCAGGTTGGTTACGTCACATCAGTTTCCCAGGTCAGCATGCTGGTGGGGACAGAGCGTGGTTGTCTTCTGGAGAGGCCACGGGTGAGATTTCTGTAGGAGAGCCGTGGTGAGCTGATGCTTCGAGATGCCATGGGGCAGCAGGCCTGTCTCCCTAGCGGACAGCGTCCAGCAGGGTCTCTGATCTCTCTCGCCTTAGACTCTTTCTAACCGCTGTCACAGCGAGTGTTGGTGTGAGCAGTATTTCGCTGGGCACGAGTTAATGATTTTAGTACTGTCTCGGCGTGTGACAAATGAGCAGAGCTTCACTGTCCTCTTTTAAACTGGGCTAGGAGGGGAGTGTCGACCTAGAAATGACAATCTAGGGATGGTCCGATTAGTGCAGCCTCTCAAGCCAGAGGACAGATTTGGGTAATTGGGAAAATCACTCGTCTCAGAGCCTGCTTCTCTAGTGCAACTCAGTTAAGACAACTGGCATCCTGGCTGTAACTTGGGATCCTGTTGTGTGAATGGCTCCCTCACCTGTCCCAAGGAACTATTGCCTTTTGTGGTCAAAGCCTGAGAATTCCAGAGCCCTCTTGCTATTCCTTTTAGGAAACACACCGGAGAGAAGCCATTTGAATGTTCCAAGTGTGGTAAATGTTATTTTCGGAAGGAGAATCTGCTGGAGCATGAAGCTAGGAACTGTCTGAACCGTTCGGAGCAGGTATTTCTGGGACCTGGCAAGGGAGGCATAGGAGACAGCAGCTGTTAAATTGTTGCAGCGGCAGCATGCCCACAGCCGCGTGCTGTGCTCACTTCTTGCCTGGAGCTGTAACTGGAGCTGTCTGTCCAGAGAATTCTCTGGGGGTGCCACGTGCTCAGAGGATGGAACAAACTCAGAGTTTCTAGAGCAGTGCTCAGTGCACGGCCTGGTCTGGGAGGCCACTGCCGTTCTGTTTGGAGAAGGATGCCCCCCTCGGGCAGCCCAAAGCCATCTCACCAGGAAATAAGCAGGGCAGGGCAGCAAAGCCCGATGTTAAATCCTGGGTTTGCCCGTTTTGCTGGGCACTGGGTAACATGAGCAGAATTAGAGCCTCCGCTGCAGCCTCCTGCCTAGCCAGAACCAAGCTCAGCCTCAGTCATTGACATTGAAACTAACATGGAAACTGCCTCATCTCTCCTCTGCTGCTGCTGTCTGCTGTGCGCCAGCTGAGCTCCCTGCTGAAGATGGGCTAGGCAGCTGTGGGCCTCGCACTAAGGACGTTAATAGTGTAATTCACTAATCGAATAGTTGACGCATTTTTGCATCGACTATTCGATAGGGTGGCGCTGCCCCTGTGAAACGCTGCTGTGGCATTTCAACGCAGCGCTGCATGGATCCCATAGCTTGGTATCTGTGAGGCACTGCCGCTTTAAAGTACCCCCTCTCCCACCCTTTGCTGCCTTTAGCTGATGCAGGGGGAAGGAAGCGACTAGTCGACTCGACTAACCAATAAGTATTTGCTTATCGGATAGCAGACTAGTCCTTAGCACCCTAACCTTGCCCCGTGACTTGCAGCAAGACAGCGTGAAATGGCAGCACGTGTGGTCACCACTTGCTTTGGGCTTTTGGGACAAAGTTTGGTATTTGGTATGGAGACAGTGTGGAGGGGTCACATGCCAGCAGCATCCTAACCAGACTCCCGGACTGAAGAGTCTGGATTCTGAACAGCACCCGATTCCTAGGTCACCTTGCTTTATCTTCTGTCCCCTTTTCCTGTGTCTATCCTTTCTTGCCTCTCCATAAGCAGCGCTGCTAGAGTCCTGCTGATCTGCCTCCCCTCCTGTCTTTTTCAGGTTTTCACCTGTTCGGTCTGCCAGGAGGTATTTAAGAGGCGAATGGAATTACGGCTGCACATGGTGTCGCACACTGGGGAAATGCCTTACAAGGTCAGCCGAGAGCGCCAAGGAGCATTCCTGGGAATGGCCGAGAGACGCCATCATGAAAGGAAAGAGGGGCGTGTGTGCAAAGATGCCTTTCTATTCTGGGGTTCAGGGGCTGGCCACAGGCAGGCCGTGCACCGAGAGCATGCGCCAGGAATTGGGCTGGTGCTGGGACAGGCGGGGTTACTGGGCTCTTGCCTATGCCTGAACTCTGGAACGTTGCTTTGGTTTATTCTGGGTCTGAAAGAACTGACCCCACTAAGCCCTTCCTGTCACCAAACCCAGCTGTGCAGCGCAGAGCCCAGGGGCCCTGGCCTGGGGGGAGGGCCAAGGGTGCACTTGGTACTTACGGCCTTGCTTGTGGTTGTGTTATAACCAGAGCCCAGGGGAAAGATTTGTGTCTTGCATCTTTTCTGCTGCACCACGGTGGCCATGCTGCATTAGGGAAGCATTAAGCTCATCTCAGTTACTGCAAGTGCTCGGGAAACAGCCAGAGGCTGACTCTTGTTTGTCTTTCAGTGTTCCTCCTGTGTCCAGCAGTTCATGCAAAAGAAGGATCTTCAAAGCCATATGATAAAGCTACATGGTGCTCCCAAACCCCATGCGGTAAGCGGGGGAGGGGGAGGCTGAAGGGAGGCGGGCAGAGGTGACGTCTTGGGGGTACAAGATGGAATCTTGAATTATTCCTGAGGAAAGAGGGAGGGAAGTGCAGGGGCATGCGGGAGTTCTGGAAAATCAAAGGTTCCTCGCCTGCATCTAGTCCTAGTGCGGTGGCACACCCGGCAAAGAACAGTAGCGGGGCTGGCTCTGGCAGTCCCTAACCCTCACCGGGAGGGGACCTATTCCACCAGAGGCTTGGCCTGGGCCTCGCCTTTGCTCTTGTCTGGTCACTGGGAAGCCAGTTCCCTGAGCGTGCGACAGAGCTTCCTCTATTATCTGATTCTAACCCCTCCCTATGGACTCGTAGTGCTCTGCCTGCTCCAAGTGCTTCCTGTCTCGAACGGAGCTGCGCCTGCACGAGGCATTCAAGCACCGCGGAGAGAAGCTGTTCGTCTGTGAGGAGTGTGGGCACAGGGCGTCGAGTCGCAATGGCTTACAGATGCACATCAAGGCTAAACACAGGTATTGCACGAGGAGGGGGGCACAAGCATATGCACGTTCTTCATCCCCCACTTACTGTCTTCCTTGCAGACGTGCTGATCTCTAGACCACGTTGCAGGGACCTGTCCTGCAGAGGGCAGAAGATGGACTAGGAGAGCCTGGGACAGGCATTACTCCTGTCTTTGTCCTGGAGGGCAGATGAGAAAGGCCCCTTCAGGAATAGCAGCACAAAAGGCCAGCACTTGGTTCTGCCAGAGCAGGGCAGCACTGCCTCTTCCCCCAGCGGTGTAACTTACCCATGTGCTGTTTGTGGTTCATGTGACCTGCACGGGCTCAGTCTGCCCTTTGGCTTTGGAAGCTGATGAAGCAATTTCTGTGTCTGGCTTCGGGCTGTTCTTTAGGTCAGCGACACATTTCAGCAGTTTTCCTCATACTCCCTGTTGGGTACGGGGTCCCCAGCGCTGCAGCACAGCGTCACAAGCGATTCATCAGCACCCCTAGTCAGTCAGCTCTCAGCAAGGAGCCCTGAGCCCCTGACCGGGGGGCTGATTAATCACCTGTGAAGCTGTGCTGCCCCACAGCTTAGCAGGAACATGGCCTGCTCAGTGCTAGCTGTAATGGCCGAGGGGGAAGACTGGCTTCTGCTCTTCGTACCTGCAGCCTGGCTAGAACATTAAGCACAGTTCTTCGGCCTCTGCAAGGCTGCCTGTTTTGAGAGGCGTGAAACAGGATTGAGCCCCAGAAGAGCTGTACAAGCTGCCTTCGCCCCCAGGGATCTCACCCTTCTCGTGGAGAGCTGGGGTTGGAATTGTTCCTCCAGCCAAAGAGGCTCTCAGGACAGGAACACACTGAACGTGGCTCTCCCCCTCCTTCCAGGAACGAGCGTCCATATGTGTGCGAGTTCTGCCATCACGCCTTCACCCAGAAAGCCAACCTCAACATGCACCTCCGCACGCACACGGGCGAGAAACCTTTCCAGTGCCACCTCTGTGGGAAGACATTTAGGACTCAAGGTACAGACAGAGGATCCTTTCATAGGCCTGCTAAGCTGGCTGTCATTCCAGTCCTCGGAGAGCTCCACTGTTTGGTGAATGTTCTTCCACTGCTGGGGCCCGAGCAGTGAATGTGTCTGTGCTAACGTCAGCGTTGAGTGTTCTAGTGGGCCAGACCACAGGGCCATCTGCTGCCAGCAGGTGGTTCCTGAGACTAACTAAGCAAACCCTAGTGAGATGGTATGCAATTCCTTCTGGTCCCTTCTGGGCAACCGCTGTGCGAGACTTCCTTTGCTTGGTCCAGAGGTAGCTGTTTTTTTTTTCCAGATTTAAAGGGGCAGCTACCAGTAAAGCATGTTGGGAAATAGCAACTAAGGGAAGAGTTGAACTCCCCCTCCCACCTTTCTAGATGTTGAGGTGCTAAGAAGGAAAAATGTATCCCAGTGTTTTCAGAGATGAAACCTGGTATTATTCTGAAGCTCTTAAAAAAACCACCACGACATATCAAAAGTATAATTTCCAGACATCGGCTGTGTTCTCTGCTTAGAATTCACCAGCATGTCATGGTAATGTTGAAGTAGATTTTATAGACCTATCCTGGCACCTAAATAACTTGTGCAGATTTTTTAAGATGTTACATCTGTGCTTTTATAATACAATATTTGCCTCCCCAGTTTGTCCCTGCAGGGAACTTCATATACAGTAACCTGTGGAACTAATAAATTAATGTCCTTACTTCATTGAGCATCCATTTCTTATCCCTGGACACTGTGGAAGGGAAGACAACCACTCTTCCCAATATCCTTAACTGGAATGATAAAACCAGTGAATTCCCATTTGCATCTTTTCTAAAAACAAAATGATATTGTCTGAGTGCTGTGCCGTCTGTCGCAAGAATAGGAAATGGCAACCACTCTGTGGTAAATGTTTCTGTACACGAAGGATACATTGCGTGTTTCTCATCTGTTGTGGTAAAAGTGCTCCTCTGTACACGAAGGATACATTGCGTGTTTCTCATCTGTGTTAGCGAGTCTGGATAAGCACAACCGTACACACACTGGTGAACGCCCGTTCAGCTGTGAGTTCTGCGATCAGAGGTTCACGGAGAAAGGGCCCCTACTGAGGCACATTGCTAGCAGGCATCAGGAAGGAAGACCACACTTCTGCCAGATCTGTGCGAAAACTTTCAAAGGTAATGTCCATTGCAGCAATGCTACTGTGTCCTCCTGTGCTGGGTTATGAGCCTCTTTGTCTTAAATCAAAGTGACCATGTAAGTGCTAGTCTGGGATTTGTGAGTTTGCCTGCTGTGGCATGAGGAAGCAAATGTTAGATTGTGCTCCCAACTCTTAACACAGCTGTGTGCAGAACAAGTGGATCCAGCATTTGTGTTTTGTCAAACATGCAGTCTAATGTCCTTTGTTGACGCAATATTCAGCAGAACTGCACTAGTGAAAGCAGAGCACTCGCTTCTCCTTCAAGCTTTCCTGTGAGTGAGTGGGGCAAGTTTGAGGCCGTAGCATAGCTGCAAAATGGAATCTCCCTTTCACTGTGTCCTGAGATATTAGGGTTGGCACCGGGGCCCTTGCTGTGGTAACATTTCCAACATAGCCCAGGCCTGATTGTATACCTCTGGACCTCTGTCGTAGTGTTCAGACAATGAACACGTTATGATGTTCAGCCAAGTAGCTAATAGCTGCTAACTTTCACTTCTCAGCTGTTGAACAGTTGCGTGTCCACGTCCGCAGACATAAAGGAGTGAGGAAGTTTGAATGCACTGAATGTGGTTACAAGTTCACCCGGCAGGTATGCGTTTTTCCTCATTCTGCTTAGTCAGCAAATTTACTCTGCCTGGTTGAGTCAGTAGCTTCCTCTTTGCGAAGAGTCGCACGTCCATGAAAAGAGATGGGGAAACAAGTGTGGTGTGTTCCTTTGAGAGGGAAGCTGAGGGGTCCTGAACTGAAGCCTGTTCATTGCCTGTTGTAGACTGGAAACAGGCAGAGCAGCAGGTGAAGTGTCTGAGCTGCCAGCTGCGCAGCAGAGGGGAAAGAGGAATGCGTGTCAGTAGACTTTCTCCTTTGACCAAGTTTCCCCTCAGTAACCACACCAAAATCTCATAGTCCTTTGGGGTTGGGTGGAAGGGGAAGCAAATGGAGGTAAGTGATCCCCTCCCCCACCCCACAGAAAAGAGTGAAATGCTTTAATGATTAGTTGAGGCAGAAATCAAGTCTCAAAACCTCAATCTAGTGTGAAATATGGGTCTCTGCTTTTTGCTCCCAGCCTGGGTAATGGCTGCGAATTGGTGGATAAATTGAGGGTTGAGTCTCAGCTAGAGCAGCCTGGAAAACTTCAAAAATAGGATTTTTTCTTACTAGTTGTATCTGCTGTTCCCTTTCCACAGCTAGAAGCCTGCTCTGCTGCCCTAAGGAGAAAAGGCTAAGTTGCCCCTTCTCTTACAGAGAAAGTGTTGGGGGGCAGAAGCCTGTGTGGAAGAGTGGCCCCAACTTTGCCTTCTTCCCTGTTGCCATTTTCCTCCTTTGTGGCCTTCTGTGAATTCACTATGCATTTATTTTCCTGCATCCCTCCTCCACCCCAGTGCTAATTGGTTCCAACTTTCAAAGCAACTTCTTGGGCCCTCAACACTCCTGCATCCTGGGCCTCCTTTCTCAGCGAGAGGCAACTTTGCTGGGCAGGTTTTAGTTGGGTAATGACGGACTTGACTCTTCTTTTAAAGGCTCACTTGAGGCGCCACATGGAGATTCATGACAGGGTTGAAAACTACAACCCCCGGCAGAGAAAGCTGCGGAACCTAATCATCGAGGATGAAAAATCTGTGGTGGTAGCACTTCAGCCCCCTCATGAATTAGAAGTGGGGCCAGCAGAAGTCATTGTGGAATCCCTCTCACACAGCTCCCTGGCTGAAGAGATTCCTGTACAGAGACTCTGTTCAAATGAGACCTTCTCCATGACAGATGTTATTGAACAATCTCTTATCATTACTACTACGATCCCTGAAGATTGTGAAACATAGCACGTGTGTGCTTGTACATGCCTATGCCTTTCCCTTCAAAGAAATAAAATGAAGCATTAGGTTGGACTGTTGACAAGAGCTTGATGTTTGTGTTTCAAAGCCACTTCTCAAACTCTGCTCCCGCCTAAATCCTTGTGCCTAATGTGAGAACCTGACCTTACTCTCAGCCCACCCAGCTGGAAAGATACAGCTTTTCACTAACTTGTCTAGAAAAAGTAAAGTTTGGTTTAAAGAAAGGTCTATCCCACCCCGCCTCTATTACTCCAGCGCCGTGGCAGTACAGGTAAACCATCCTCCTCCGAGGCAGCAGTTTGACAGTGACACTTCACTCTTTACAACAGTCATACTCCTGGACCTATCACAGCTTGGGTACCCTAGCTCTTGCTCTCCCAGGCAGCTGTGCGGCAGTCTGGCTTTACACAACCCCATACCACGAACAGCATTCTACAGTTAGCCATTAGGAAAGAGCCTGATAAAATTGTTCTGTGACCCGATTTTTGCTAGGGACACTCCAAAACTGGATTGAGATAGTTTTGATAATTTGTTGAGAGATTTTAGAAGAGGTTTAAGTACCTGAATCCCATTGAATTTTAATGGGAGTTGGGCAACAAGCACCACTAAAAATCCCAGCCCTAATGCAGGAACAACTAACTGATAAAGAGCAGAGCTAATCAGTCTCTCCAAGAGTGAAGTTACTCCCTGCCCCTCAGCAATGCAGAAGGACCTCCAGAATGCTAATTCCCTGGTTGCCTGCTATGTGTGTTGAATAGGACTGTGTAACCATATTCCATGTATGCTGTATTGTTGGGGTCAGCATGGTAGACACAAAGTATGTGAGGCAGGATTTATTGGACTAACTTCTGTGGGAGAGAGAAATAAACTAATACAGAGCTCTTAGCATAACTTCTTGGCCATCTAACTTTTTATCTAGCTTAGAATCCTACACAGGCAAGTACTATAGCTACAAGGTGCGAGAATCAGCCTAGTAAAGGCACATCTCTGCTGGCAGCGAGGTGCCACACCTAGTCCCTCTTCCCACCCTGCAGGGGTTTTACATGGCTACTCTCACTTTGGACTGCTGGCAACCAGCACAGTTTAGGAGTGATAAGGAGTTACGGAAGGGAGTGGGTCTGCCTCACAGTACAGCAGCTACAAGGTGCCAGTTTAGCTTAACAACCCTGAGAAAACATCTTGGATTACTCCAGATAAGGTCACTTTGAGCTGTCCTGATTATCTCAGCTGTCCTTTCCCTCATGTGGACACATGTTCCGAGTGCGTTTAAAAGCACCAGCATGTAACCTGTGGTGGCTGTATGATTTAACCTTTACATGCTGGTGCTTTTAAACGCACTTGGAACATGAGTCCACATGAGAGAAAGGACAGCTGAGATACTTAAGTTATCTACTTCTAGTAATACTGAGATATTCATTCCAATAATAAAAGGATGCATAAATGCACAGACACCTTAACGCTAGTTCTCAGCTGTTTAACAGTCATGTAGAGGCTGATGAGCAACTTTACAATCTCTGTCTCGATGGCTTGTAAGTGCCTAACAGTAACGTCAGCTTTTTACATTGAGGACTGTCTGCACAGCTTATGAAAAGCTGTGTGCGCTTAAGCACACCAAACAGTGGATAACACTACAGCTGTTGACAAAGCACTTCCATTTAAGATGCAAGTTCTTAGGATGAACTTCCTTATATACAACTGTGAAGCATCATTTCAATAACTGAACTGCTTGAATCCCTTGGTACTTTCACCAAAATCTTTTGCAGACTGTGGCTGAAAGTTGCTTTGGCTCTGAAGTGGGTTTATTTTAAGTTATGTCAGTGCACAGATCAGAATTCAACCAAGTTATTCTGGAGCATTCCATTAATAGCTGATCAGATTCCAGAGTGGAGTACAGATAAGAGAATCAACCTTCTTCCAGGGTTATTTCTTAGCTGACAATGTACAGTACTTTGGCCCCTCAACTTCATTTTCTGGTTATCATAGAGCCACTTAGAATACTGACTCCAGTCACTTAAAGTGGGACCATATATGGCAGCAAGGCAGTGTAAGTGTCTACAGTATTAGCAGTACTCAATCTGTGACAGCCATGTGAGAGAGTTTAGTAGAATACATTTGTGATAGGAAGGCAGGAAACAAATGACAGTGGAACAAAAATGGGAGTTGTTATAACGGTATACTTAATAGTGACTAAAACATATTGAAAGAGAACTCTTAGATCGTACTTCCTCTGTGGTTGAAGACAGACACCTCTTCAATGTTTGCTCTTTGGAAAGTGACTATTTTGACAAACATGCATCATAAAGAGCTACCATGGGTTAACCCTATCAGACCTAGAACCCCTCTGCAGTCATAGAACAAAATGTTTGCATTTAACATGTTTTATTTAGCTTGATCATTTCAAATAAGTTTAAACACAAAAGTATGAGAATAAAAATCTAAAATTGTCAAAATGTAAAATGCCTTTGATTCATAGATGATATTTAAACAGTATTTAAAGCTTTGGACACAATGAAAGTCTACAAAACGTTATAAATCTAAACCTAAAGTTACCTGGCTGGTTTTGGAACTTCAAGATGACATGGGTCCAGCAGACAGCACTACGGTATGAGAATGTTATACATAAATAGGCTTTAATAGTTCAGCATAAATACTTTACCATTGTACTATGCAAATTAAGTTATACTAAATGACAACATGTAGGCAGCAGCGCTCCATATCTTAAGATGGACTTGAATACATGTCTTAAATAACTTGCACCATACACTCATGTTTGCCACTCCCATTACAATAACTGCACAAGCTCTGTGGAAGATTGACTGATTTGATGTTTCAATTTAATTTGGTGGGGACACACATCACTCACTGGCATAGTGCTCTATAGCCACAAGTGAGGAAATTGCATCAATTCACTCTTCAGAAGCATCTGTGCAAGAAAACAGGCAAAATGAGCCCTGTATCTTGCTCAACATAAGCATGAGAACAAAGCACAGGTTGACTTAGAAATAAGTATGTAACAAACACATTTATAGAGCTGAAAACCTCAAAGAAGAAGTTATCCCATGATCTTGCTCCCTCACCAACTGAACAAGAGCCAAGGGAGAGGGGAATACATAACAGACCTCCCCTTTCTTTGTAGGTTTCATACTGGTTACTATAACATTTGTGATACTAAATAAAAGCCTGACAACCACATGGTCCACTCATTGGTTTTCCCAACTCCCAAGTAGGGAACTCCTTTTTTCATTCTTTCCAGCTGATAGCACTACTAAAGGTCAGACAGTGACACCCCCACTCAATGCTCCTTTGCCTAATGCAGATGGAGGAATGCCATCACCATGTTTAGTCATTCTTCGCCAGCAGACTGATGTTCGTGACATGAAGCTCTAGCAAGAGCTTTTGAAGCATGATCCCCAGGACTCCCCCTCAACCTGTGCAGAGGTTTCCAATACAAAACAAAACTTAGGTTTGCCAAATCTATCAAGTTTATTTATATATTGTCTTTCTTCTATCCGTTGTGGAGTCTTGGGACACTGAAGTCTGCCAACACAATGTAGTTGCTTCATAACCCTGTCTCAAGCTACATTCTGATAAGGCACTGTCAACAACTTATCTTAATTAAGAGTTGTCCTAGTTCAGGATAATGGGAAGAATCTCTGCTCAACATTTGCAACAGGAAGTGTTTTAGAAAGTACTGACTGGAACTTAAGAAAATGCTTTAGCCCCTGGCAATCTACAACACGTCAGTGAATTAGATATCCTAAAGATTTTAAAGAGGAAGAAGCCTAAAGGATGTGTGATTGAATGTCTGGGTTTGTCCTTTGTAAGTAAAGTTTAAATTATATAGTTTTCCCACTGAGAAAGTGCACAGCTACAATCTTACCCTCTGTTTCACTTCATTAGTGTCTAACAGACGTTAGTGCTCGTTTTCAACTAGACCATACTGCATTTTGAAATGTAAGAGCTTTGTAGGAACAGTCAGACAGACATCACATCGAAGAATTAGCAGGAAACTTTGTCTTCCATTTAAATGCACTTGCTCAGGTTCAATACAGGAAATAAAATTAAGCCTGCCAAATCACTTGAGTACGTCTGAAAGTAGAACTTACTGATTTACCAAAGCAATAGAGACAAACTCAATTTAGGCTCGATGCACTAAATGAAGTCCTAATTAGCATTTAGCAACTGCTCAAAAATTCCAACAGTGCTTTAAATTATTTTGATTAATGTCTCAATTCTCAGGTGTAACACAGGTTGAACCTCTGTAGTCTAGCACTCTCTGGTCTGGCAACATCCATGGTCTAGCATGATCTGAGTTAGATGGATGCCCACTTACCATGCATGTGACCAAATTTCCTGCAGTCTCTAAGTTTGTTTACAGCCTCCATCCTGGTTCTCAGTGTTCTGGGCTGTTATTTAGCTCTAATTTGCCCCTAAATTTCTGCTAAGAGCCCAGTGAGCAGTGGCAGTGTTGGTAATGCTGCTCAACAATATTGACCTTAAGCAGTTTGTCAAATTCTCTTGTTCGGCACCAGGCAGATCCCAAGCATGCCAGATTAAAGAGGTTCAACCTATATTAACATGTTAGTAGGTTTCTATCACTCAGTAAATTGATTCATTTATAAACCATCTATTTACCTTAGCCACCATTGCTTCAAACATTTGATAAAGAGACTAAAATTATTTTTCTATATACCAAATACAGTGTAATCAAGCACTTTGCTCAAATCTATTGGACAGTTCCCGAGGAAGCTCTTCTATATTTCCTCCCTTTTAAATAAGTTCTCTCCTAAAAAATATTCTGATTTACTTCTTTAGGGTCTAAACAGTGAGAATACACTTGCTGCACTTTACAGTGCCCTGACCACTGCCCGGGACCTATCTGCTCAATTTAGCACATTCTACCCCTATAAAGAAGAGTCAAACTGACGTCTTCAGAGCTTATGGAACATCACTAATACATGGTAGAGACTTCTCTGCCAGGTTAAATAGTTTGATATAAACAGAAATGTTATCCAGATTTGAATGCCGATGGAGGAGGATGTTCTTCTCCAGGGCTGTCTCTAAACTACATCCCTTTTCTGAAAAAAGGGATGTAAATTAGATACTTTGAAATTGCAAATGAAGCCGGAATTTAAATTGCCCGTGCTTCATTTGCATAATGGCGGCCACAGTTTGTGTTTGAAACGGGGCTTTTCAAAAGAAAAACGGCTATTTAGACGGGGATGGACTGAAAATAAAACTCTTTTTTTGAAAGATAATGTACTCCTGAAAAAATGAGTACAGGATCTTTCAGAAAAGTGTTTTATTTTCGATCGATCCCTGTCTAAACAGCCGTTTTTCTTTCGAAAAGCTCCGTTTTGGAATAAACATGGCCACCATTATGCAAATGAAGCGTGGGAAATTTAAATCCCGGCTTCATTTGCAATTTCAAAGTGTCTAATTTACATCCCCTTTTCCAGAAAAGGGATGTAGTTTAGAGACAGCCCAAGAGTCCCTAGCCCCTAGTGTTTATCCCCACTCTCAGACATATTTGCTTAAAAATGAAACGTATTTGAGATTTCACTCAGTCTAGGATTGTGAACCTGCATCACTTTTAAAAATGAAAAGTTTCTAAAGAAAAATTTTCCAAGCAAGTACCAATAAAAATGCAAGCTGCATGGAATAATGGAAAAATCTGTATAAACTTACAGTGCTATACGGGTTTTTAATAATTAGTTTATCGTACATTTAAGGTTGCAGGGAGGGAAATTTCATACTTCATGATTCTGAACCTTAATATCTATACACTGTGTTTTTTAAACCATTGCAATCTAATAGGTTCTTCATGAAAGTATGACGAGTGACTAAAGTTTATGGTGACTATCAGTATATTTAGGGCTAGATATTTCTATCCTCATATCTGCATATCTAGAACGAACCCACAATTTGTGAGTGGAAAAATTTCCCCATAGCTCCTATTGGCAAAGGCCTGAGCAAGACATTCATCTTCCTCTGGAGCACATTAAATCTGGAGGCACACCTTACCAAACCAATCTCTCGCCTCTGATGTTAGGGAACTTTGGTTCTCCCTAGGGTCTATGTTTCCATAAAACCTCGCACAACAAAATGGAATTTGGTGGCAAATATGAAGTGTTATGCTGTGAAACGATGCTGACTTCGAGTACTAGTGAAAGCTCTCTAATCAATTGCTGCACATTGCTGCCTGGAAGAGTAACAGTGGTGCTTTCTTTTTAAAATCTGTTTTCTCCAGAATTCTTATCTCAGTGCTTTTCTGTAGCTAATGCTGCACCTTCTCTATCCACAGAAAAGTGCTGAGGGACAATGCACCCAAAGAGGCCTCTAACCTTCTGCCAACTACTCAACTACAACAGCATTTTAATCTTTCAGGCTCTTACTTCTTCCCTACTTGCAATTTCTGATCAATCCATTTCAGAGTTTCCCAAGCACCAGCTTGCCTCTTGCCTTCCACAAAGCAACACTGGTTACTTGTAAATAATTGACTTCAAGCCTCAGAGAAGTTTTTCCACTGTTAACGCAACTCATTCAGATTCTGATTATGAAGATTCTGGCGCTGCCTGTTTAGGTTAATGGCATTATCCAGAGCGATACTGTCATCTTCTTGTGTCGTTTGTGGCATGAACTGTCGGAATATGCTAACGCTCCCATGCCAGAAGGTGGGTTCAGGCAGCCGGCCTACTATGCTCCATGTTCGAGTTTCTGGATCATAAGCTTCTAGCACGTCAGAAAGTTCAAATGTGTTATCGTAGCCACCAGAGACATAGAGCTTTCCACCAAGCACAGCCAAGCTTCCCCCAACATGAACCTATGATTAAAGACATGTTATTAGAAAGGACCACACTAGCTTAAATCAGGAGGTTTTCAAAGATCTGAAATTTAAGAAGTCATATGAAAAGTGGAAGATGCTAGATCAAATTATGAAGGATGAATATACAAACAAAAAAACCAACAGGAGCATAAGAACATACAAACTGTCAGACTGGGTCAGACCAAAGGTCCATCTAGCCCAACAGTGGCCAATGCCAGGTGCCCCCAGAGGGAGGGAACACAGCAGGTAATCCTCACGTGATCCCTCCCCTGTCTCCCACTTCCAGAGAAAAAGAGCTAGGGACACCATTCCTACCCTTCCTGGCTAATAGCCATCAATGGACCTAACCTCCATGAATCTATCTAGATCTTTTTCGGACCCTGTTAAAATCCTAGCCTTCACCACATCCTCTGGCAAGGAGTTCCACAGGTTGACTGTGCGCTGAGTAAAGAAAAGCTTCCTTTTGTTTGTTTTAAACCTGCTGCCTATTAATTTCATTTGGTGACCCCTAGTTCTTATATTGTGGGAATAAGTAAATAACTTTTCCTTATTCACTTCCCCCAACAATCATGATTTTATAGACCTCTATCATATCCCCCTCCCCTTTAGTCTCCTCTTTTCTAAGATGAAAAGTCCAAGTCTTTTTACTCTCTCTTCCTATGGCACCCATTCCAAACCCCTAATCATTTTTGTTGCCCTTTTCTTAGCATTTATGCCAATATATCTTTTTTGAGATGTAGGGACAAAACCAGAAAAGCCAAGACACAAAGTAAGATTTAACTTGCTACGGACTTAAAGTGTAAAAAAAAAAAAGGTTAATAATGTAAACTGTGTAACCTTTTAAAAACAAATTTAGCAGTTACATGTTGCGGGCTCCCCCGGATTGGGGCCGGCAGCTGGCTTACGCCAGCCCCACTTCTGGGGAACTGGCTGCTGCTTTTTACAGCAGAGACAGCAGCACAGGCAGACAGACAGCTTCACTGGGAGCAGGGCTGGCTGCGAGAGTCGGCATGTGCTGGGAGCCAGCTTACGCACACCAGCTGCCAGCCCGGTCCCAGGGAGCCAGCTCCCAGCACTTACTAGCAGCGCGGCAGCCATGTAAATTTAAATGAAGCGGCGATTATTTAAATCGCCGCTTCATTTTCCTATGTCTGGTAGCCTAATCTACATGCCTCTGGCAACAGAGGCATGTAGTCTAGACGTACCCTTAGAAGCAAGAGGAAAATTAAGAACAGGTAGACCCATTATTCAATGAGAAGGGAAAGACAACAACAGAAAACACAGTAATAGATAAAGCATTAAATGCCTTGTTTCTGATGTCACCAAAAAAATTATCAGTGACTGAACAACCAACATCGTGAATATAGTGTGAACAGGGACAGGATTTGAGGCCAAAACAGAGAAAGAACAAGTGAAGAATTCCTTAGAAAAGTTATATGTCTTCAAGTCAGCAGGGCCTGATGAAATACATTATATAATGCTTAAGAGCTCTGAGCCAGGAGTAATTATCTTTGAAAAATCACAGAGAATGGGAGAGGTCTTAGAGGACTGAAAATGTGCAAATACAGGGAGTAAGTACAAACCAGGACAAGAAAGCATGTGCTTACATTGCAGCAAGGGAGGTTTAGACTGGATATTAGGACAAACTTCCTGTCAGAATAGTCAAGCACTGGAACACATTTCCTAGGGGGATTGTGGAATCTCCATCATTGGAGGTTTTTAGGGGTAGATCAGACAAACCACTGTCAGGAATGGCCTTGGTAATGTGTAGTCCTGCCTTGGTGCAGGACCCTGGACTAGATGACCTATCACGGTCCCTTCCAGTCCTTCGTTTATATGATTATGCCTATTTACATTAGATACATTGCTTGCTAGGCTAGGTATCAATCTCAAACGTATGGGTTCTCTGCTATTGCCTGACAGTTGTTGTTCTGGAACAGTTCTAGTTTTGCTTGTAATACGCCACCCACCCAATTCTAACTGACAAGTCCCAGCTAAAAGATCAACAGCTCTCTACTGAACTATGCAGCTCCGCCACATGATGGTTTGGGCACTTGTGGCTTGTTTACACTGTGCATTAGTTGGCACTACAGGGTGTAATAGCGACTGATAGAATGCCACTCTCTAACTGGTCCACATGGCTTCTGTTAGCACATACTAAAAGTTCCCTTATGCACAGTGTAATATTGTATACTACTACTAGGGATGTAAAAAAAGGTTAATAATGTAAACTGTGTAACCTTTTAAAAACAAATTTAGCAGTTACATGTTGCGGGCTCCCCCGGATTGGGGCCGGCAGCTGGCTTACGCCAGCCCCACTTCTGGGGAACTGGCTGCTGCTTTTTACAGCAGAGACCGCCTTCACTGGGAGCAGGGCTGGCTGCGAGAGTCGGCATGTGCTGGGAGCCAGCTTACGCACACCAGCTGCCAGCCCGTTCCCAGGGAGCCAGCTCCCAGCACTTACTAGCTCCTGACTGCTGACCCTGCTCCTGGGGGGCAGCAGCCGGCTCCTCAGGAGCAGGGCTGGGAGCTGATGTGTAACTGTAATAAAAACCATTTAAACAATTATACTCTTAACATCCTTATATACTACACTAGTGCACACCAGAGAACTTATAGAGCAAGACAGTTAGTGTATGACACCATCATGTGCACTGGTATTTATACCCTTCTAGTCTAGACTAATGCACAGCGTAGACAAGCCCTTCATGTTCTCTGTTATGTAGACTACATGTGCTCTGAAGGACAGACCACCTCTTTCTGTCCAGAGTAGGGATGTAAGCGACTAGTCAGCTATCTGATAAGCATTAATCTCAATTTAACATCCCTAATCCAGAGCTGAACAAACTGTCAGCATTCACCGAGTTTATTTTGGGTTGTGTCAGTGTGTAGATAATTAAGTCCCTCCCCTACCCCCAAGAAATTTATAATCCAAAAGAATTGTTTCCAACAGTTGTTTTTTAAATGAACCCATTTTCAACATCCTACCTGAAGCATAGGAGGGATTTTGTCCCATTCATTCTTCATTGGATTGTAAACATCTACTTCAGCAGAGTCATCTCTACAAAAGACAAAAGGAAACTACTATTCAAAAGGCTGTAAAGACTCTGCATTTCATCAAGCACAGGTGAAAGTGGTCCAAGCAAGTGTCTGAAGTGCTACATTAGCATTTTTGCTTCCACTGTTACATTAACAAACTCACGTACAAACTGATCAAATGGCACTTACACCAAGACGCAAGATATGGCTCACACCAAATTCTGGTATCTGGCTCCTACCAGGCAGCATCAATGGCCAGCCCACATGTCAATTGAACTGCATTGCCGTTGGTGCCAAAGAGCTACGTATTAGAGTAGGCTGCATCATTATACACAAGAAGTTTCCTCTCTACTTGTGAACTGGTGCTTGTGTCCAAAGAACATGAATGGCACTTCCTTGCTTCTCCAAAGTCAAAACTGCATTTAAAAAATTCTGGTGGAATTGATTTTGAAAAGATTACCTAACTGGACAAGCTAGTTGTGATGCAGTGAACCATACACTGGAGACAGAAGGAGTCCAGGCTGTGTTTCTGCCTTTCCCTGAATACAACTGCTCCATTGCTATTCGTGGTGCCTTCGAGACAGGATGCAAAGTGATTTGTATTACAAATAGTACCTAGAAGCTCCATTCTAATAACTACAGGCCAATCTTAAACATATTATTTAAATATATTTATTTTCAAAATCTGCACTTTTGAGTTCCATTACAGATTAATTTCCTGAAAATCTGTACCTGATAATATCATCTGTCTTTGGTGATATGAGTACACAAGAACATCTTAGAAAAGTAACTGAAAATCTGGGGTGACAAACCTCTCCCCTCCTAAAATTACTATTAAAAGGATCCCTGTTAAAATAAGACTTTGGCCAGTGCCAAGCCTAGGGAGAAAGGAGAAAATAAAGGATGGAGAGAGGTCTGTAATGGAAGAACTGACAGCAGCACTATAATCCCATAAGGTTTCTTTTCCCCATTCCACTCATGAAACAGGAGTGTGACAGTGACAGGTGAGGGATTATTGTGACACAGAAATGCAATTTGCTGACATACAAATGTGGTGACTACAAGGTCAGGGCAGTCACAGCAGTACTTAAATTAAATCCAAGGAAGTCCTTTCAGGAATGAAGTTGGAAGATTATCTAAGAAAACAAAATCTTCTCTTTAATTCAACTACTAATTAATTTGAGCTTCCATATGAACTGAATTATCAGTCTCAAGAATAAGTTCACAGAATTTAAAGTAAAAATTATGTATTGTATTAGAATCCATTTCAATTGGTATAGGAATTTCTTATTGGATAATTCAATCTCTGGCTATTGTCATTGTATTAAAGTTAAATATCTGTATGAGAGAGAAAAAAGTGAGTCCAAGGAAATGAGAATTGAGTGTTATATTTTTCAAACATTGTTACTGACTTTCCAAGACCTACCATTTCCTTTGCAATCTACCACTAGCACTCTAGTGATGAAACAACAAGATCATATGCTGTTTCCAATCAAAGCACTACCAACAATTTAGAGTTTGTCTAAATAAGACAAAGGCGAAATAAATGAGTCTTTGCAGACCTCCCAGAGCATGACCTCTCCAGATGGCCATTCATTTAGCAGCCATAATTCTTATGGAGTGTGTGCTTAGTATGCAGCAAAATCTAGATTTATGAACTATAGTTACAATTAGTTAAAAACAGGATGGATTTAATGCAATTTAAATATTTTATTTTAATCACCAAGCAGGAAATCTTTTAATCTTGTTTTGCATTTCTACTTTAGTTATTTTCCTAAAGAAGGTTAATTCTCACTGATGGGTAACCATTAAAACATTGGTTTGCAACTAAATATAACTTTTACACTAAATTTGGTGCTGTTTTGTGTTAACCAGGAGGACACACTATATTGATGAACTTCATTTAAGCAAATATAAAGCTCAACTTATATTTCTTCAGAATCTTAAATTTTGCATTTTTTATTGTTCTTTTTTTACTTGCTAAGCTATTAGTGTCAAGCTCAATTTGAAAATTCTGATTCAATAAAGTGTACAAAAGCAGCATTTTAATTTCTGTATTAATTACATAAAACTACCTTAAATGTGCAGATATGTTTATAACTAGTTGATCTCAACCTCTTCATACCCAGTTTTTCTATATAGACTGGAAGAAGAAAACTGCTCTTTTCAACATACAATTCATTTACCTGAATAAACTGAAACAAAAAATATTCTCTGTCCATCTGCAGAAGATCCTACTACTGTCAAAAGCTGATTAAGTACTTCAACAAACTCTGGTCACACGTGCTTAGGCCAGTGACTTTCACCAGTTCAGTGGTTTAATTTTCTGTAAAACTTCAGCAGCAAACATGTGCTGCTTATAATTATTTTATTTTAGTATGGTTTCAATATATTATTGTAAGTTTAAGCCTTAACATAGGTTGTCAATTTTAAGGTTTATTAAAAATAAACTTGTATTTAATTTAAAAAAAAAATCTCCAAATTAAAATACACAAATCTGCTTTTTAAATATTCTCAATCATTTTTATCCCCCCGGTTTAAAAAAACCCAGCAATGTACAAGTTAAGGTACCTGATTTATAACCAGTTTCCTTAGCTTCCCAAAGCAGCTCAAACTATCTCCAAGCAGAGGTGTGTATGTAGCAGGAAAGATGGCCAATGGAAGTCAAATATTTATAAGTCGCTCTTGTTTATTTCTAGTCTATGAACCTAAAGATTCTAAACAAATTAACTATATGGGGAGCTCCTTTTCCACCTGTTGTACACCTAGGAGTTTCACATATTCAAGTGAAGAGCAAAGACACCCTTTAATAATTCTGATTTAAAAACCCTAAAGTTGCTGTCAAGCCACTTCTATGGAGTGTTACATGAGGCAAGCACTTCCAAGAACGAAAGTAAAAACATACTTTCTACAAACAGTGCTCCTGGCTCAGAGCACTGTTGGCCGACAAGGTACTGGGCTAGATGGACCTTTGGTCTGACCCAGTATGGCCATTCTTATATTATGTACTGCTTGCGTGCTGGCAGGGAAAAGGAGCAGGAAGGATTTCACAGGCTGTTCTGAATAAGAACAAGGCATTCCCATCTCAAGGTTGTTTCTAATATAGAAGTAACCCAGGAGGCCAGTTTTGGTATGATGCTGTATTTATAGCTGTAACAAGGGTTGGTCATAAAGAAGAGGGAGATATTTTATTCTCACTTAATAAAAGGAGAACCCCCCCACCCCGCTAAACTGAAAGTTAGCAGCTTTGGTTAATAAGTTACCTTTTGGTCTCATGTATATGAAACTACTGTTCTGAGATTGTCCTTATAAACAACTATCAGAAAAATACCCCCTTTGCAGCATTTTTTTGGAGAGGTGGAGTTGGGGCAAGAAAGTAGAGGAAGAATTTTCCCTTTGCTGTATCAAGTAATTTTCTCAGCTATTCACCCAAAATAACAATCAATGACTTCCTACCTGCTGCAGCAACCTCTACAGAGGTGTGTATGGGCCATTAGATATTATAAACCTTGAGTCTGCTGAAAACAGAATATAAAGTTGGTTCTGCAAGTGTACAGGATGGATATTTTGATGAAAGAACCTTTTCAAGATTAGCTGAATACTGAAAGAGTGAAAGGAATAACTTCAAACAGCTGCTGGAAGCCAAGATGCTAAACTGAGCAAGAACAAATCCAAATGCAACAAATAAAGATCTTAGATAAAACTTACTGCTTTTAAGCAAACACAAAGGTAATAAAACAAAATGTCTGGGAGCTGTTTTTAATGTACATTTGCTCTCACCAGACTGGATACTAGATGAAGTGTTTCAGTGATGGAATGCCTTTCAGTTTTTAATTAAGTGGATACGTTTTTGAGCCATTAGAACTCAAATAACAATGGTACGTAAAGCCTGGTTTAAAAACAACAACAAACCATTTCATCCCATGTATTCTCACTACATTTCACAGGCGCGATCTGCTATACCATTGAAGATTTCCTTGGAGACTGTGTGCCTGTATGTTTGCATTTTACGTAATAGTAGGACTGAATTAAAAGCCAACAGAACCAGTGTTCCCTGTAAGCTGCACAGCAGCACAGCCCCACCCAGGCAGGGGCTCAGGACTCTCCGAGACGCACTGCTCTGTCCTCAGCAAGGAGCTGCTGCTGTCACTGAGGGAGAAGTGCCTCTACCTCTGCCAGGCAGCTCCATGCACGAGTCCTGAGCCCCTGCCTGGGCAGGGCTCATTAAGTAGGTGAGAGGCTGTGCTGCCGCACAGCTTAGAGCAGTGGTCTCCAACCTTTTTACACCCAAGATCACTTTTTAAGTTTCAGAACAGGCGAAGATCTACCGCCCCGCCCCTTCCTTGAAGCCCTGACCCCTCTATTCTCCTGTCCATCACTTGCTATCCCCAGCCCTTATACACTCTGATAAACACTTTATTTTTAAATAATGCAAAATATAAAATTAAAATCACATGTTTATAGTTATGAAATAAATGGTCTGTTTTTAATTCATGCTATTTAAATGTCAAATTAAGCATTTACAATTATACATTTTGTTCTCTGCTATTTTGTAAATCTAAAATCAAGTATTGATAATTATATATTTTTTCTTCCAATAACAAAGTCTCAGTGTGACACCTGTGGCTGAACAGTATCTGCCAGTGTCTTGAAGTCTGGGTTGTGGTCTGAGATTGCTAGTCGTATACAGTTCATCAGATGGGCATCCGTGATCCTGTGCTCAGCCTGGGAAGCTTGCTCCAGCACAGCTGGAGCTAGACGCAGACTCCCTGGGCTGAGCGCAGGGCAGCCGGGCTGGAGGGAAGAGAAGTGACTGCCCGGCCAGCCGGGCATGGCGAGCAGAGGAGAAGCTGCCGATCAGCTGGAGCGCGGGGCAGCCTCTTTCAGCTGTAAGCCACAGTCAGCGGGCTGGGGTGCTCCAGCCCTCCCGACCTCCCAGCTCCCACCATTCCTCACAGCTACTCACCTGTGTTGTTGCTCAGTGAGTAGCTGCTCCTCAAATGAGGAAATCTAATGTAAATGTACTGTGCAGGCGCGCAGTTCAGAGAGGGCTCAAGAGCTACTTTTAGAGCCCCTGAGATCTACCGGTAGATCGCGATCTACTGGTTGGTGACCACGGGCTTAGAGGGAACACTGAATAGAACTCAAGTATATCACTTTACGGCAGAAATACAAAATCCCATTTAAAATGTTAACCGGTTAAACAATCTATTTAATTAACTGGCCTTCTGCATTGCACTGAGGGTGGGGCTCCACTGGAGCACTCAGTGCCCACAGTGTCTGGGTTGGAGCAGCCCCTCTGCCCGTGGCATGCTGAGGGTGGGGGCTGCTCTGGCTAGGCCAGGTGCCAGTTAATAGGTTACCCCGGTAAGCATACTGGTACGGCAATGCTTGCCGGGTAACTGAATAACAAGTTACTAGGAATGTAAAATCAGGTTTAATTAGTTAACTGGTTAAACATTAAGTTTAACCAGCTGACTGATTAAAAGGGGTAGGGGGGACCCAGACTGCGCCTTTCCAGCTGATTCTGGCCCCACATGGCGGCCTGGCAGGGCTGGAACAGCCCTCCACCCACTGCAGGCTGCTCCCTGTCTACTGGTTAACCATTGACATCCATATCAGTTACCTTTTTACATCCCTACTTCAAAGTAGATTTCTCCTCAATTCAGATTTGTAAAACAGTCCCCTTTTCCCAAATTGTGGATTTATCCGAAAATCAGTCTGTCACGGGAGAGGGGGAGAAGATGCAATATTACTTACCTTACAAAGTAGATAAGTCCATTAAGAGTCACAGTTTTTGGTGCAAAAGACCATGGAGGCAGCTGTCCACAGTTCACTAGGGACCAGAGGTCAGTTTCAGGGTCATAGCACTGTATAACCATGGATTCTTTGCCTGCTAGAGAGCCAATAGCAAAGAATTTGCCACGACAAGATGTGGTAGAACAGTTGTCCATTGGATATGACATAGGCTGCAAAGCCTCCCAGGTGTCTATGGAGTGGTCGTAACGTTCTGTGCTGTCTGAGGCTATAATATACAACAGCCCATCCAAGACTGTAGAGCTGTGGTATTCTCTTGCTTTCAACATTGGAGACACTTCTGTCCACTCATTCACACTGGAGTTGTATCTCCAGACACAGTCATAAAGCCTTGATCCATCCGATCCTCCTAGAGAAGAGGGCACATTTCAGAAGTAAATATTTTGCAATATATCCCATTGTACATGAGGGGTGTTAAGAAAGACAGAGGAGGGGTTTAACGTAATAATTCAGCCTTATTGGGTATTCAAAAATGTTACGACTTTCTAATACTATATTGCTACTTCTCCAGCTTACTAACTACTAAAAATATTTAAGCACAGGAGGAAAATGGCGATTTGTTTCACAACAATTTCAAGGATAATGGTAACACAATCTCAAATTTTCTCCCTTTCCTATTTACAATCCCCACCATACATGTGACCAGAAAATTAATAGCTGTCAAAGTAATACAGAGCAACTTCCAACAACATTTAGCCAGCCAAGGTATGGATAAGGATCCAACTAACACTTCTACAATTGTTGAATAATTATCAGTGGAGCAATCCTACCATGCAAGCTTCATAAAGCAAAGAACAACCAGAGACACCTGACTGCACTTCACTACTGCTAACCATGCAAAGATCTACTTCTAAGTTTCCCCTTTACATCTCCTTTCCTCTGAGCTACAAGTGTAATATGAAATACAAAACAGTTATCCATGCATCTCCAGTGACAATAGCTCCTAAATGCAAGTACAAGACTCTTGGAAGAAGTCAGCAAACACAAGGTGTGACACAAAATGCTTGGCATTAGAATTCCAGGTCAATCTATCTTACATTGTTTTTTAATACTACCATATGTAACTTACTTTTGTTAATATAAGGTTATTCTGTTTTAGCATATCATCATGCTTATAACATAACAAAAAGCATGGCTATGATTTAAGTCAAGTCAGAGATTGAACAGCTTTCTGTTTACTTGGGAGTACTCTAAAAGCCTCAGTATAATCACATCTGTTAAGAATGTGAATTTTGAGGACATGGTTATATGGTAAAAGACCTTGTGTAGATGCAGCAATACTGGTAAAAAGGTGTCTCATGCAGTATAGTTTATTTCAGTTTGAGTCCCTTTACACTGGTATAGTCACACCCACCCCGGGACTGAGGAGGGGTGGAGGATTGCTGCTTTATATTGGTATAGCTGAAGCAGCAAACTTGACAAACTGACAAGAGCCAGGAAGTACACTAAAGAAAGAAACAAAACTTTTGTCCTTTAATACCATAAACACAATGCTGTGCCAAGGTCAATGGCTTTAGAAGTTATTTACAGTCTGGAGTCTCAGCAGACTTCCTGGCATGTTTCCACCTTGGGTGTACATGGTGTACTTTGGGCTGCCTCCTTTGTTCTTTTCAATACATTCTGATTTTCCTCACTGTTCTCATCATAGCAAGAATTTCAAAACCATCCGAAATCAGACTCATACCCTGTTGTCTTGAGTAGACAATTGGGAAGTTACACCAACATGGGTCCTGAAATGCTGTCTACATGCTCACTACTATTAGCCATCATGAATCAGCTGCCTGTCTTGAGATCAGCTACTAAATCCGTCCCAAAACAAGAAATAACTTTGGGATAAGGAGTCCCTATTGCAAAATGAGAACTTGCTAAATGCTACCAACATCTAAATGGAACTTTAAACATGGTCCATCTGTGAAAAAAATCAAGAACCACTGCAGACAATCTAAATATTTGCACTAAAATGTAAACATTAATGTAACCACAAAGTGCTAGAGTCTCCTGGATAGTGGACTCCATATGTTAAAAATAAAGCGGCCAGGAAGTTCCTTCTCCACTCAGTCAAGAAAGTAATATATAGAGTTGAATACATTCTTATCTTCCTGTTCATGACTGAGTTGCAGGCTTATCATCCCTTGAGAATAAGTCTGCCCCATGAAGCCAGTTATACCCCCTAACAGCAGAATAACAAAACCATTTCAGTTTTACTCACACACTGCTTTAGCCTGTACTTAGAACCAACCACAGCATCCTGCAGTCTGTCAAAATAAAAACAAATACCTTTACGCTGACTTGTATGCAAGTCTCCAAACAGGACAAAACGTTACTGAACTGTGGGGATGCCGAGGTCCCTTTGAAACAGGCTGTTGCAATGTGTGTCTGCTTATGATGAATGCAACACACTCATTCAACATTTTCAGAGATGCCAAGGAATCATTTCCCCTACCATTTAGTATAGCAGCAGAACAGTTTGAGTCTTTACAACAAACATCCTAATTATGAAAGCTCATCTCACTTCATAGGATCTGTACTCTGCAAACAGGAAAAGCCATGCTTAGCTTATTCTGGGACTAACAGCAAAGAAACGAGGGAACTTTTTATAAAAATACTAGCGCTTTGAAAATTCAGGGATTGTATTTTTGGCCTTTTCTATAATTTTACAACGCCACTGGATTGTTAAAACTAAAACCATCCCCCATCCCTTGCCAGACCTGGGCTTCCTCCAGACTAACGCCTAGCTTTGGCCCTCTCCCAGACAACACCCCTCGGTGCATCAGATCCAACATGCCTTGTCCTTACCAGTCACGTAGATGTCATTGCCTAGCGCTGCTATGCTGTAGCCGCCGCCCAGGTGCTCAGGAAACTCAGCCAGGTAGCGCCAGTGCCCCGTGCGCGGGTTGTAACAATCAACAGTGACCAGCTCATCACAATCACGGTCGCAGCCGCCAATGAGCACCAGGATCTCTGCCAGGCCGGTGGATGGTCGTGGCCGCATACGAGCACATGGCCCTCGGTCATGCCGGTCATAGCGGGCAGCCTGGAAGTCGCGGGCCTCCCGCAGGAGACGTAGGCAGGGTTGACACCGTGCCACCAAGGGCTCACCTTCCACATGTGCCAGTAGGTAGAAACGGCGCACAAAGGGCAAACGCACATGGGCCAGAAGTTGCGGCAGCAGCGGGGCGCGGGCAGCTGGGTCGGCACGTACCCAACGCAGTGCCAGCTGGAAGGCAGCTTCCTCCTTGGGCACACACAGCTCATCATCCCGCAGGTAGGAGATGAGCCGTGCCAATGGCAGCCGCTCCAACTGCGCACTCAGCTCACCCACGTGGCGCAGCACAAAGCGATGTGCAGCAGCCGCAAGGGCTGGGCAAGCAAAGGCCTCAGCAAAGTCTTGCATGTCCAGCGCGTTGGCTGGTTCCAGCTGCTGGGCCAGCCAAGCGCCACATGCCTCCTTCACAGCTGGAAACTGCAGTAGGTCAGCAGCACGCAGCAGCCGCTCCGCAATGTCGGGGCCCAGCCGTCCCACCCGACCAGTGTAGGCAAAGTCGAGCAAGAGTGCCAGGCACTCAGGATCCACCCCATGTAGCCGTACCCGCTCAGCTCGGGACTCCCGCAGTGACCCACCGAACATGGCACGGAAGTAGCCAGAAGCTGCGGCCAGCACAGCTCGATGTGCCCCAAACTCACAGCCCCCAGCCACCACCGTCACATCAAGCAGGCTCCTCTCAGAGCGCAGCGCACTCAGACCCCGTAGCAATGCCACGGCATGTGCGGATTCCCCGCCTCCTCCTGGGCTCGGTTCCATGATATGCCTAGGGAAAAGCAACACACGGCAGGTTAGCATAGGGCTTTGAAAGCACACATGGCCCTTATAAGGACTAGAGCCAGCTGTAACCACGTGTGGTTCCCACCCCCAATTCCCTGTCACCACCTCCTTAACTCCTAGTGGCCCATTGGGGCCAGGCGGCATCCACGGGCAGAGCCCACAGATTACTGTACATCCCGCCCCCTACATTCATATCAGGGACAGCTGTTCTAGTTTATAATATTCCTGTCAAAAGGGGAAAGGGGCCTCCCTAACTGATGCTATCCCAGCAGGGACTCAGCTTATACAGGGCTCTATAGAAATAACAGGGATTCGGCAAGCTTTCATCTGTGGTGCAGGGATTGCTTCTGTATAACTGCTTTGTCCTCCCAAAAGCAATTAGCAGAACATCACAATTCAAAATCAAGGCATGTGAAAAATCCTGTTCTGATTTTTTAAAATGTTGAAGACATTCAAGGTTGTTTGAAAACAGGTCTGGTGTATAGTTTTCAGTTCATCCACATTCATGATCTCAATTTGCTACAGTACAAACTTGCTGAGGAAGAAGAAAGGTTAGCAGGATAAATGCACAGCACATTCATGTATCACTGTTCTACTAGCCTTTCTAGGTTTTAAATATATACTTTGCCTGAATGCATCTAAAGTTTTTTCCTCTTCATTCTGATCCATCCCACTACCTAAAGACATTTTTGGGGACTGGTTATTACTGTCAGAATTTAGTAAAAGAAAGAAACGAACGTTACCGTAATTAATAATTATTTAAATGGACACTGAAAACAAATGGAATGTTACTGAAGAAATAAGTGATGGAATTTCTTATTCCACTTAGAGAATCTGCACTTGCAAAACACTGTAGTCTACAAAAACTGATTATTTTACTTTAGGTCACAAAATGTACATGGTGCAAAGAATCTCAGTTTCAAGCCAGAGTTTCTCAGTCCCGCCCCTCCGTAGAGAGTGTAAAAAATTGCCAACTATATTTCAAGTTGTCATGGCGGGGTATTGGGAAAAGTTTTCAATTAGCAATAATCACGCCTCAGATTAACCTCATTGGCTACGATACTGCCACTGTGCAAAGCAATATAACAGGTCAGCCCATACTGTTTCAGTTGCCTTTATAAGCACTGTGATACAAATAATACAAGCTGTAAATATTTTTAAAGAATCAGTAAAGACTGCTTTTGCATGCCTCCAATAATAGCAATCCCATTACTTGGCAAACATTTAATAAAATACAGAAAGTCAAGCTTGAGCAATCAAAATATATTACTCATCAGCCAAATACATTTGTTTTCTCATTTCCACCCTTCAAATCTTGCATTTCCCACTTGGAGATCTCTGACAATCCAAGTAAGAGAGCTTTTTGAATGCTCGGTTGAAGTTTAAAAAATGGGATAATTATATAGTCTTCAGAAATAAAATAAAATAAAATAAAGAGCACTTTATGCATCCCACTAATTGCACTATAAATGTATGTTATTAAAATGCTTTGCTAGATTCATTCTGCAGGACAAGTATTTTCCCTGAAATGCAACAAAATTAAACCTTTAAATGCCTGATTTCTTTGCACACTCCAAACACTCACTGCAGTCAGGGAAGCGAGAAGCTCTGTTCACACCAAAAACTCATTGGCAAGGACTATTGTACACATGCAAGAACGAAAATAACCCATAGAGAGTTAGTGTCTTTCACAAAATGCAATGCATGGTCTTTATGGGATTAAAGGAGCAAAAGTCCAGGCTAGCTGCCTTGCGGTGGGATAGCAATAGCTCCTTGTTCTGGCTTTAGCACCCATAACATACTCCTTACCGTGGTGTCCAACCAGTTCTGAAGCAGTAGCTACGACAGTGGCTACTGCTATAGCGAATTAACCACACTCAACCGGCTAAATAGACACATTGTTCAAGCCAACTAGCCACACTTAACTGGCCAAAGAAGCACATGTGGCTAGCGTGTTGGACATGGCAGCCCTAAAGGGTATCTACTGTGGGACATTAACAAATAACAATTACAGCCACAGAGTAAAATGTCTCCACAAATGAAGTCCCTCATTGCAAGAATTCTAATGTAGAACTATATTAATTATGTATACTATATAGCCAGGAACAATTTAAAAAATGGAAGAAAAAAAAAAAAAGGTTCAGCAAAGAGAAGCTATCCTGGAATCAGGAAAACTGAATAAACTGAACAGCATTTAAAACATTCCTACCTACATTCTTCAAATGTGGAGACGCAGCAAGATGAATTACGTAATGTGCTATTAAACTACTGCTCAGCATTTTTTACACTTCAGTCTCATAATAGATATTTTAGCAAGAATTCAAATTTAAAGTTTGTAAGAATAAGACTATCAGATTTGGGTTGAATGTTGACAGAGCACAGTCAGAACTGATTTAAATCAAAGTTTAAATCACAGATTTTAATCATGCTTTAGATAAAGAAGGCGAAAACCTTGGTTTAAAATTTTAATCTTGTTTTGCATTTGTACATTTTAGTTATTTTCTTAACGAAAAGTTGATTAATTGCGTGGTACCCAATTATGTAACACATGGGTCTCTCCCTATATATAACCTTTACAATAAACTTGGTACTTTCTGCTAACCAGGAAGATACATTATGTGTATACACATTTATTTAAGGAATTATGGAATTTAACACACTTATTTTGATTAATGTTTGCATTTTTGTATTGTGTTAAATGGTGAATGATGCATTGCCTCTTTACCCGATTGTTTTAATATACATGTCAAGCTTGAATTGGATGGAATTAAATGTAAAATGCATAAAAATGTTTTAAAATTGATAGATAAATAAAACTAGCTTAAAGTACTGGATATATGAGGACAAAAGTAAGTATCAAAATATGTTTGCCATTTAAAAATACAGACTTTTTGTTTAGTCACTTATTGAATTCAAACTGAATTTCTAGTAACATTTGTGGATCTGGGCCCATCCCCTTACAAATTTTAGATCTCATCCTCCCATACCTTATTTTTAATCACATATTGGAAGAGGAAAAAAAGTTTTACTGATTTTTCAGCTCCCAACCACCCTCTCAATTTTCAAACACCTAGTAACTCTACTGAACTAGATGAATTAACTGAAAACAAAATATTCTTTCTGTACCTGCAGAAGAAGCTACTATTAAAAAAAGTTGGCTTAGCACTTAAAATCTGGTTCCAGGTGTCCACTAGTTCAGTAGTTTGACTTATTAAAAACTTTGGCAACACACGTGTACCAACTAATTTCTATTAAAATGGAATGTAATCAATTAAGAGATCATAGAATCATGGGACTGGAAGAGACCTCAGGAAGTCATCAAGTCCAGCCCCCTGCCTAAGGCAGGACCAATCCCAACTAAATCAACCCAGCCAAGGCTTTGTTAATCTGAGATTTAAAAACCTCTAGAGGTGGAGATTCCACCACCTCCCTAGGGAACCCATCCCAGTGCTTCACCACCCTCCTAGGGAAATCGTTTTTCCTAATATCCAACCTAGACCTCCCCCACTGAAACTTGAACCCATTGCTCCTTGTTCTGTCATCAGTCACTACTGTGAACAGCCTTTCTCCATCCTCTTTGGAACCTCCCTTCAGGAAGTTGAAGACTGCTATTAAATCCCCCCTCACTCTTCTCTTCTGCAGACTAAATAAGCTCCTCCTAAAGCACCCTAATATTCCATTCACCTTCATGGCTACAAGGGCAAACTGTTGACTCCTATCCAGCTTCTCATCCACTGTAATCCCCAAGTCTTTTTCTGCCAAACTGCTACTTAGCCATTCGGTTCCCAGCCTGTAACAATGCTTGGGATTCTTCCAACCCAAGTGAAGGACTCTACACTTGTCCTTGTTGAACCTCATCAGATTTCTTTTAGCCCAATCCTCTAATCTGTCTAGGTTACTCTAGACCCTATCCCTGCCCTCTAGCGTATCTACCTCTCCCCCTAGTTTAGTGTCATCCGCAAACTTTGAGGGTGCAATCCATCCCCTCATCCAGGTCATTAATAAAGATGAACACAACTGGCCTAGAACGGATTGTTGGGGCACTCCGCTAGAAAGCGACCATCAACCTGACATCAAGCCATTGATCACTACCCGTTGGGCTTCAACAGTCTAGCCAGTTTTCTATCCATCTTACAGTCCATTTATCCAATCCCTACTTCCTTAACTTGCTGGCAAGAATATTGTGGGAGACCGTATCAAAAGCTTTGCTAAAGTTAAGGTATATCACATCCACCGACTTGACCATATCCACAAAGCCAGTTACCTCACCATAGAAGCTAATCGGATTGGTCAGGCACGACTTGCCCTTGGTGAATCCAAGTTGACCATTCCTGATCACTTCCCCCTCTTCCAAGTGCTTCAAAATGGATTCCTTGAGGATCCCCTCCATAATTTTTTTGGGGACTGAGGTAAGGCTGACTGGTCTGTAGTTCCCTGGATTGACCTTCTTCCTTGTTTTAAAAATGGGCCCTCCACTTGCCTTTTTCCAATCATC